GAATCATTTGAATGGAACAGGACAGGTAAAATGGTATCTCGTTGTCCTGCGTTCACTGGAAGAATCGTGGGAGGGGAAAGAGGGTCAAAAAGACACAGTAAGTGTGTGCGTGGCTTTATTCTGGAGGTGAAGAGGTCGTTAGCAATAATAAAAGGGTAATTAAATTGGGGAGAGGTTAAAGGTGAGTGGCTGGTTAGCGGTGAAGGCGCGCTAGCTGGTGTCACCCGGGGCTGCAGGAACCGCAACGCAGGGCTGCACCGGCAGGAAGTGGCAAGGGCGGGGCCGGGCGCAGGATCCCGCTATCTGTCGCCGCGGGGCGCAAGGCCCAATCACTGACACCCACACAGCCATTTCCTGTACTTAAAAAAAATCTGTTTCTCTCTTTGCAAATCAACAACTTTTACCTAGAAACTCTACAGCGGTGAGCCTGACTGATCCAGATCTCCGTCCGTTGCAGAAAATACACCATTGTTTACCTGGGGGAGGTGTGCGCTAACTTTAACTGACAGGTTTCAGCGGCTGCTGGCGGGCTCTGTTTTGCATCTGCCTGGAAGAAACCAGTTCTCTCTACCCCAAACAGACACCTGCTGGTTATTGAATACCTTGACAGACCTTTCTAGAAAAGACCTCCAGGCACAGAGAACTCAGTGCCGAAGCCCTGTGCGTGCTCCAGAGGGTGACTACTGCCGGTCCCTGAGGGCACGCTTCCTGGCTTGGGGTGAGAGAGAATGGAGTTGTGGCCTTGAGAGCAGGTGGCCAGCCGTGGGCTGCTCCTGTCACACCCATGCGACACCAGAACTCTTGCAGGGGAACCTCGGCGAGGCTCTCAGGTGGAGGGGTCCCCACTGTGACTGCATAGGCTGACGCTTAAATACATGTGTTTATCGCATGTCAATTAAAACTCAGTCAAGCTTTTAAAAACAAACAGCTCCCACAGAATGTGAAAACAGTAGCCTCTCATGCACGAGAGACGGCACCCAGAAAACTACGTGTGCCTCAGACCTGAACGTGCGCTTGGTCCCACACAAGCAACGATGGCTGCATTTTGCTGAGAGGACCCTGGAGCCCTCTTTGAAGTTCCACTACCCACACTCTGACTTCTCTCAACTGCAAAGATTTCTGTAACTTGCAGTCTCGTGGGGAACAAGTCTCCCTTGGTAACTCCCTGCACGCACAGGGCTGCCCCCGGCCCAGCCTCTGTCTGTCCCCAGGAAAGGACCTACAGAAGGAGGACCTGCGTCCTGGTCCCATACTCCGGGGGCAGGCTGGGGGTTCACCACACGCACATCACATCACAGGTAATCGCTGTGTGAGGGACTTGACCCACATGGCCATCTGCTAGGCCAGAGTTGGTCCCATGCTCAGGCGGGGAAACTGAGGCTTGGTAAGGGTAAGACACTTGCCCTGAACCCCTCAGGGAGACAGCGGCAGGGCCAGAATGTGAACTCAGGCCCTTGTCCAACGTCTAGAAACCAGCCTGATCCAGCAGCCTCCTTGGACTCTAGCAGGATGGGCGTCCCAGCAGCCAGAGGGAATCAGCATCAGATTCACCTGTCTCAGCCTCACAGGTCAGAGCCAACTCCAGGCGTGGAGGCCTGGCAGCATTCTAGAAACCTCAGGGTCCCCTTGGACAGACAAGCCCCAGCTGAGAGTGTGGTGACGTCAGACCCATTTCACACGCAGAGCAGCAAGTTTATGGAAGAGCTCATCCTTCATCTCGGTTTCTGCGAGTGCAGGTGTGAAGCTGTGTGTCTGGTCTGGGAGAAAAACCGTTATCACCGGATGGGTCTGCATCGTCCACTCTGCCTATCTCCATGGGATCACAGCTGGACTGCCAGAGCCACAGGGCCCTGGAAGCAGGGTCCCCACCTCACCTCCACCCATCAGCCACGCCAGGATCGCAGCTGCCCCCACGTGTCAGGGAGGTTCTGGAGTGCGATCACACGGCATTCCCAGGAAAAGGCGGCCACCGCTGTGCACTGGCCACGTGGCATCTCCAAGCGGGAAAAGGCGGGTCAGCGAGAAGAACAGAAAAGCACATTCCATTCCCTCATTTTCAAACTGTTGGACTTTACGTTTTCTTAAAAAAAACAAAAACAAAAAAAAACACTTGGACATCCTCCCAGCTGCTTCCCATCTTAAGCAGCCAAGAAAACAAGAGGGCTGCCTTACACGCTAATAACGAGCGTTCTCAGTAGGACTTCCTCCAGCACACATCTGCTGACCTGTCTTGCTAATAACCAGCTAACTACTGGACTGCTCCTGGTTTAAGCGGCCTCATTCCATGCAGTGTGGACAGGCAGTGCACACAGCTGGGCTTCAATCCCCTCAATCAGAGAAGCAGAGGGGGGCAGACACCTTCCCCTGCACCCCCCAGAGAGCTGAACGCCTCCCCCCAAAAGCGACTCATTCAAACGTCACCCGCTGGGTCAGACGTCGCGCGTGGGTGTGTCGGCACAGCTAGCGGTTTCAGGTTGTTAGAGGTTAGTATGAAACCACAGCAGAAACGCCGCTGGAAGCGCTCACATGGCGACCGCCACACGGTGTGTACCTACCGCCCAGCAGCGTGTACAGCGCCAGGTTTTTCTGTTCAGCCATGGCTTCTGGGTGAGAGAACCAGATGAGAGACATTTAGGCCTCCACGCGGATGCGTCATGGCCACTTACAGATTAGATACTGCACACGTGTCCACCACATTCTAGAGCACCCCGAACCTCACAGCTTGATTCTCATTACAGCTGCCTATGGGGGGTGGGAGGCCCTCGCGGAGGCAGGTCACTGGGTCACCTCGCTGATGACCTGAGGTGGCCCACATGACTTCTCTCACTTCCCTTTCCTCTTCTGCTGAAAGGGCATCACGCTGCCTGTCCGTCTACCTTGCGGATCTTACCAGGATCTGGCGAGATAACAGGCAGGCAAGTGCTTCCTAAGGGCCCTGGCCGTGAACAGGGTATTAGCAGCACCTCGCTAACCATGGCAGAGCAAGGGTGCAGCAGCCCAAACCCAGCAGTAGAGGCAGCCAGAGACCTCCGGGCTACAGGCCCAAACCTCCCAAAACGTGGACAGCTCTCTAAGAAGCCTAAGCTCCGACGCCAGCTCCAAGGAGGTCCCCAAGGCCCTGGGGGCTTACGTCTGCGCTACACTAAAAGCAGAAGCCAAAATGGGGTGGGTAGCCTGGCAGAGGGATACACAAAGGGAAGAGGCAGCAGAGAGCAAGTTCAAAAGCAGACCCAGCACTGATTCAGCTAAGGGGAATAGGCCGAGATGAGAGTTTCCAAGAAACCCTGAGAATGAAGCTGTGCACCTGCCAGCAGGCGAGTGGAGCCTCTCCTCCTCGAAGACCATGTGTGTGCACATGCACTAACATGAGAACGTGTGCACAGGTGCGTGTATCTGCAGGCATACATGTGCAGTGTGCATGCAGGCACTGTGTGAGAACGTGTGTGTGCATACATGTGAACATGTGCATGTGTGTGCACACGTGTCTGTGCATGCAACTGTGAGTGTGCATGCATGTCTGCATGTGCAAGTGTGAATGGGCAGTACGTGAACGTGTGCAAACATGTATTGTGCAAGTGTGTGCGTGCAGGCGCGTGCGTGCACACGAAGTGCATGCATGTGCGTGTACATATGTGTGCATGCATGCTTTGGCTCCCATCTTTCAGGTGGAGGAAGCCCAATGCCATTTGATCAGGAGACCATCAAGGTCCCCTAAGAGCCACTGTCTCTGTCTAAGGCCCCAGCAGCCTCCACAGATGGAAGGGAATTCCTTTGTTGGTTCTGCTTCCCTTCCTCCACCCCCATTTCATTGTAAATGCCTTTGATGTGTGGCTGACAGAAGTGATCACTTCATGCATCTATCTCTGCTCACAGTTCACAGAAAATCTGTTAGAAATCCACTCGGCCCATTGGTCACACTTTCTTTCATGACTCATCCGCAAGGAGGCCAAACTGGGCATGGCAGGCAGGTTCCCCTCCTCCAGAGAGAAAGCCCTGGCAGGCCCAGGTGACAGGAGGGGAGAGGTGGCGTTTTTAAAATACCTTCCCCTCTGTTCATCTCTACTGACAGGTAGACCTCATGTAGGAAGACGAGTGGCCGGCCTTGGACCAACAACCACTGGTAACTAGACAGTTGAGAGCCTGCAATGACCATGGGCCTCCTGGGCAGAGTGAAGGGGAAAGGCACTTCCTACTCAGGCAGGAAGGAGAGTGCCGCCCTCTGAAAGGGAAGGCCGCGCATAGACGGCAGGACCAAGGGAGCGTGTCGTTCTCCTGTGGCCACCCACAGTCTAGGGACAGCGTAGGTGAGACTTTGCCTGCAGACTAGTGAATGAAAGAGACGTCCTGGCCAGGGCACCAAGAAAAGACGGAGGGGGATAGATAAACGGATTGGGAAATTGCAGTGAATCCCTCTGCCGCCTGAAGCAACAGCCTTCTGCTTTCGAGTCTGGTAACCTGGCCTGTTGGCCTATCACCATCACCTAAGAGAGATCCCACGCACGAGTTCCAAGTCCTCAGAATGCTCAGGGGGACATGCTAGGCCCTCGCCTGAGAGCAGGGCCCAAGACCAAGGCTGAGAGAAATCAGCAGCCTGGCCAGACTGGATCAAGAGGGCAGCCTCAGCCACCCCTGCTGCCGTCCCCACCCCTGGGCCCTCCCTGAGCCAAGCTGGGAGAGAGCTCAGGTGTGATGGGGAGGCCAGAGGGGCTGCAGGGCCCTGACTACATGCTCAGCCAGGACTGTATGGCAGCTCTGGGGGCCTTCCGGAGACCACCCTGGAGCCCCACAGAGCCCGGAGCCAAGGAACCCCACAGGACAGGGCGAGGGGCCCGCACCACACACACAAACCCAGACGACTGGGTGGAGGGGAGACTCTCTTGCTCTGAGTGTGGGCCCTGCCACATCTGCTCTATTCTGGGCTGGTGAACGGAAGGGCCCTCAGTTCCCACGCCATCCTGTGACGGTGGGCGGGTGGCTGTGAGAGAAGAAAGTGTACTGACCACTGGGTGGTTTAGGCCGTGGAGGAGCAGGTTTCTTCGGAGGCAGAGCGGGAGTGTCCTGTTTACTTTTAAAGGGGTCATCTGAGAATCCTGCCCCTCCAAAGGAGGAGGTGAAAGGGCCAGAAGTTGGGGGCTGAAAGAGAGGACACGAAAGAGAGGCAAAAATAATTGTTAACACAGAGGCAACGGACGCCCATCAAGCCAACGCTCACGTACAGAGAGCCTTAGCGAGGCTCCCAACCCTCCGGGCTGTGCAGCATGGCCCCTGCTCGGTCCCGGGGTCTCTCACAAGCCCCTCGTTTTCCTCCATCCGCAACAGCCGGAGTCCTCTGGCCTGTGAGGGGCAAGCCAGCAAACACACAGAGCAGGTGAGAGCAGCCCCATGAAGGTGACCCTTCCACACAGGCCGTTCCACCCACACAGGGATATCGTGTCTTTCTGACCCCAGGGTCCCCGGGCCTCTGGCGCATGCTTCAGAGGTGTGCCCCACCCTCACCCTGTGCACCTCTGGGCTGAGTGCTGGCTTGTGCAGCCGCTGCCTTCCATCAGTGACAGGCAGCTCCACACACCTGGTCAGAATGGCACCAGACCCTCTCGTGCTCCTGGGCTGCCTACAGGTGCCCCCCAAGTGAGTCAGGTCGGAGCCCACCCTTGACTACCCGAACCAGCCCAACCCTGTCAGCACAGCCACGGCTGCCTCTGTTGGGTGCTTATCACCTCTGGCTTGGACCCCCTACACCTGCTCCCACCCACCCCTATGTCCACCGTCTCCAATCCAAGTCAAACCACATCACCCCGGCAACAGACAGGTACGTGGCTAGAGGGATGAGTGGGTGGGTGGGAGACGGGTAGAGATGACAGATAGGTGGGTAGGTAGGGAGCAGTGAATGGTCCCAATGCCAACAGGTAACTTCTAAGCACTCTTCACGGCATGGAGGGCCTTCATCACAGCCCCCCAGCGCCTGATTCTTCAGCCTCATCCCTGCAGTCATCCCCATCCCTTCCCGATGACTCCTGGGTCCCCAGAACCCCTTACAGCCCCATCTCCAGGCCCTTGCACACACGAGGTCCTCGGCTGGGGGCTCGTGCATGCCCCCCTCCCCTCTGTGTCTGCTGCACGTCAGCACAGATGAGGGGGCAGCACATCTGCCGGCCAAAACTGGGTGGGCAGGGTCTTGTCTCTGTGTGCGCCCCCAGCTCTAGCGCTAGCACAGCAGAAGGGCCAGCTCCTCTCAGGTGATGGGGCCTTGGGTACCCCAAAGGGAGAAGACTGCTTTCCATGGAGTTGGGGTGGGGGTGGGGAATCACTTTTACTAAAATGGAAAATAAGCAGGAAAAAGTACAGCATGAACCACAGAGCTACTAGAAACAAAGGGATTGGCAGAAATAGGGGTAAAAATGCTAATACGGTCCTCAAAGGGCAAAGGAAAGGAGACGCGAGACGTGTGGCAGGGCAGGAGTTGGAGGGAGCACATGTTCTCTCCCCAGCGGGGCAGCCTAAGGACAGAAACAAAGCAGGGACACAAAGGTGCACACGTGGGACTTTCTTAGATAAGCCCGACCAACCAATTGCTGGAGAAGTGAGGAGAAGGGCCAACTCACTCCAGTAACGGGATACGGCTCCCCTTCCTCCAGGATCCAGTCACGGGACACGGCTCCCCCTCCTCCAGGATCCAGTCACGGGACACGGCTCCCCCTCCTCCAGGATCTAGTCACGGGACACGGCTCCCCCTTCTACAGGATCCAGTCATAGGGACACGGCTCCCCCTCCTCCAGGATCCAGTCACAGGGACATGGCTCCTTCTCCTTCTCCAGGATCCAGTCACGGGGACACAGCTCCCCATCCTCCAGGATCCAGTCACGGGGACATGGCTCCTCCTCCTTCTCCAGGATCCAGTCACAGGGACATGGCTCCCCCTCCTCCAGGATCCAGTCACAGGGACATGGCTCCCCCTCCTCCAGGATCCAGTCACAGGACACGGCTCCTCCTCCTCCAGGATCTAGTCACAGGGACATGGCTCCTCCTCCTCCAGGATCCAGTCATGGGGACACGGCTCCCCCTCCTCCAGGATCCAGTCACGGGGACATGGCTCCTCCTCTTTCTCCAGGATCCAGTCACAGGGACATGGCTC